AAATTATGACTGGTCATCCTGCAACATCTCAGTCACTTCGGCTGCAAAGGCCTGACCAACAGCTTCGGCTTCTAGAGTGATTACTATATCTTCAGTCGTATCTAGATCGCGATTGATTCTGGGAGGGATGTAGACTCCACCTCGGATGTAGCCAAAACATTCAAGCTGATCAGTCTTCAAGGTCATGTCTGGATTAAAATATTTCATCTGATTGATGGCATTAGTGAATGTGCTACCAACCACCTTCTCCAACGCGGATTAACTAAGATCATAATCAGATTATAAATTCTGGAGATCAGACTTCAATTTTTCATTCTCCAAGGCCAGGGCATTAGTAGTTCATTCCTTCTCCGCCAACAAAGTAGATTTCTCTTTGAAATGATTAACAATGATATCTTTGTCAACTTCAAGGTTGAAAGAGTCAGCTACAAACTTCAGTTCAGCCTTGGATAATTCTAAAGATGATTTTAACTTGGCTGCAGCAACAGTTAAACTATGATTTTCCTTGTTCGCCTTATCACAATCAGCACGAAGCACATCAAGTTCAGCAACGAGCTCTATATGTTTCTCTAATAAAAGAGAATAAGGTTTCATCAAGGAAGCAGCCTTGAAGGCATACAATTCGGCTTTTTGCAGTTTTCCATCTCAACTCTGGAAATCACCCCAGAACCAAAACATGCGAGAGGAGGGAGAGTTACACCTCGAAGCTCGGTGGCCACTCCAATTTCCTATAATGCGTCTCTCCTCAAGCCAGCTGGAAGAGTAGGGGGAATTACAATACCTTGGTGTACTGATACTACGGCACATGTAGTACCTCCAGAACCTTCCGACTCTAACCAACTGTCAGTATCTTCTGTAAGATCCATCATTGACACTGCCGGGTTAGTAGCCGTGATAAAAGAGGTGGTGGCGGCAGAGGGACCAATAGTCCTCTGTCTTTTAGCAGCTTGGCTGGGCCGGGTTGAAGACTTTCCTCGTAAGGCCAATATGTAATATGGTTCATCCTCTATACTGGGATCTGCAGTGAGAATAAGTATAATTAAACTGAGAAATATGAGATAAACAATACAGAAGAAGGAAAAAAATGATTACGCATACTAGTTCGGTCTGAGCTGGCCTGTGCTCTGGCTATAAGGGAAGCCGCGTTTAGATGGCCTTAGGAATTTACATGGTCTAATAAAGCTTTGGCAGTTACTTTATCTTCCCTCGACAGCCTCAGTTTAAAGTCGGTCGACTTAAGAAGATGGTGTTCTTGGGACCAGTAAAGGGGAAACTTTCCCTCCCCGTCTTCTCCAATAAACCACGGTCTTTCTTCGACCTCAGCAGCTACCTTAAAATACGAACCCTTAAAGTCTTTGAAGAAATCACTATAAACAGAAAATAGCTTCCTAGAGGGTTTGCTGGCACGACCACGGATGCTGGTCCACCCTTTAAATTTAGGATCTTCAGAGCCGGTTCGAGGGGTGCATACGATAAAGAAATAAAGGAAAAGGGGAACGGTGCAAGATAATGACAAAGACGAGCATAGATGCTCAAAGGTAACTATGAATGCCCACCCGTTAGGATGAATCTGAGATGGAGCAAGATGAAGATGACTCATGAGTTGTATTTGGAACTCTGAAAATGGAAATCGAATACCAATTTTGGTAATCAGATCTCGATAGAAGAAAAAAGAATGTGACTCTTCATGATTCCGTCCTAAGCAAACAGGTTCATCTTCTACTGGAGGAAAAGCACTGAATCTAACCAGGTTGCCGATAGGAAGCCTGGATACATCTTCAGTGCTCATACTTGACCTGAAGCTCAAAACTTCTTTTGTTACCCTGAAATTATTTTCGAAGGTCACTACTAGGACGAGCGGAGCCTTGTTCAACAGGGGTTATATCAGCTTCTGATCCTTGACTAGTTGAGGTTACCCCGACACCTAATTCTGTAGAAGGTGACTCCATAAATACCTAGAACAACAACATGGTAGGATTAAAACAGGAAAAGCACGTACTTGAACTAGATAATGACAAAGACGAGCATAGATGCTCAAAGGTAACTATGAATGCCCACCCGTTAGGATGAATCTGAGATGGAGCAAGATGAAGATGACTCATGAGTTGTATTTGGAACTCTGAAAATGGAAATCGAATACCAATTTTGGTAATCAGATCTCGATAGAAGAAAAAAGAATGTGACTCTTCATGATTCCGTCCTAAGCAAACAGGTTCATCTTCTACTGGAGGAAAAGCACTGAATCTAACCGGGTTGCCGATAGGAAGCCTGGATACATCTTCAGTGCTCATACTTGACCTGAAGCTCAAAACTTCTTTTGTTACCCTGAAATTATTTTCGAAGGTCACTACTAGGACGAGCGGAGCCTTGTTCAACAGGGGTTATATCAGCTTCTGATCCTTGACTAGTTGAGGTTACCCCGACACCTAATTTTGCAGAAGGTGACTCCATAAATACCTAGAACAACAACATGGTAGGATTAAAACAGGAAAAGCACGTACCTGAACTAAATAAATTACTATGGGAAGAGCTTGAGGAGTCAACCGAAGTAACCAAGGAAAGCGGGGTTGATGGAATTGGTTGATGGGTGCAACTACCTAGAACTAGGTTGGCCATAAAATCATTTCCCTTCTCAACAAATTGAGCACTGAGGTATACACAAGTATAGCATGGATCCGGGTTTCGATTAACTGGGTTGCAAACCACGACCTTTTGAGGAACTCTAGTTGAAAGGGGATCATAAGTCGGACTATGTACTACAAGTGATGGAGTAGAGGTTTGACCTATACTACGGTTGCTAGGCTCGGATAAAGCCCTTGGGTTATGGCTGATGCCCTGACCACGTCCTTGAATTGAATGATAGGATGATGACATCCATTTACCTCCACCTCCTCGATATCCCCCTAATAATGCGGCTTGTTTTTATTCCTCGGTCTGAGGTCTTCCAAAGATCCAATACCTTGGACCCGGGGAAAGACTTTGGATAAACCTCTCTTCTTCATCATCTATCTCATCACTGCGGCCAAAGCCATGAGGGCAAGTGGATTTTCCCTTACTGCTGAAATTCCCCTCACTCATACTAGGAAATGGTTTCCAAAGGGAAAAATAAAAATGGGTAGCCAGGAAAACCCTTATTAAGCAGTACAATGCATATCAAAGTATGGCAAGCAGCAGACTATAAGAAGAAAAAGGCACAATGCTATGCAACAGTACCAGAACAACATATTTAAGCAGTACAGAGTAAAAGAAAATGATGAAAGATGTATTAAGAAGAAGAGCAAACTGGAAGGGAAAACACTCAGGGTCATGATATAAAGTAGATATAGATGAAAGTTTGTAAAATGTACCTGTAATGAAGCAAGTAAGCCTTAGGTAGGATTGCAAAAAATGGAACAAGAAAGCTTCCGAAGTTGTGAGAGAAAAAGGAGAAGCAAAAAGCTCAGAAAAAATGATGCAAAGTAAAGAAGGTAAATATAGAGGAAATGGTGAAGTGGAGCGTGAAAATAAAGAAAACAAAACAAAACAAAAACAGATAAAAGCCCGCGAAACGAAAGGACAAGGGCATTTAGGTAATTTCATAAGCAGACAAGACAGTTAAGGGATGTTCTGACAGTTACAAATCAATGCGAGGCGGCGTAGAAGGGGTAGTGGCACACATCGCACCTATAAGGAGAGGCCTCGTAGAAAGCAGTTATCATTGCTTGGGAGAAGAAACGTTTCATAGAGAACGAAGGGTTGAGCAAAAGATATCCTATGCCGACATGGAGTTGCGAATCACTTTAGGTGTGTGTGCAGAATTAAAAAGGGGCCAATCAAAGAACCTCAGTTGTGAGTTGTTTTGTCAGCTAAATGGAAGAACCTGGATGAACAGCAGAGTTCAAGTCAGAGCTTGAGCATTATTTCAGGGAAGAGTAAACCCCGTCTTACATTATAATCCGGGGCGGCTTACATTCAAATCCGAGGTGTAAAATCCATATTAAAGTCCAGAGAACAATATTAAAAGAAAGTTTCCTTGGGTAACCAAACCTTATGAGGTTGGAAAACTCTGATTCATACATCCCGGCAGCCCGAACTGTCATTCTATCGGGCTGGGGGCAACTGTTATGGACCTGTGTAAGACCCATATGCTTGGGAGGTCCAATAAAGGACAGACAACTAAGTAGCATGCGAACCACAAAGCAAGCTGAAAGGAAGGAGGCCCAAATGATTCAAACTCTAAGATAAATTTTATAAATAGGAGCTAAAGACCACATGTATGACTAATCTCTCTAACATATTTTATGCAATCACAGTGCACACATACCACCCCCATTTGTGGCTAAGGCCTCGTATTTGTGTACCGTGATTTGCTATCCCCATGATACCTAGTTGATAGGTATCTAGAGAGAGCATTAGATCTAATATTGACCTACTAGCCCTTGACTAGATATCTCTGTCATACAGACAGAACACATGCAAATCGATATTTCAAAAAATCTGATATGTTGTTTGAAACTTTTTGATATTTCAATACTCTAGCACGTATTGCAATGATTCAAAAAATAATTTAAAATTTATGTTGCGTTGCTTTTTTAGTTTCAATGATTAGATTTGTTGAATTATGATTATTATTTTATTAAGTTTAACATAAATATTTGAGATATTTTATGTTTCTTTACAAAATTAATAGATATTATAAGTTTAACTTTATTTTTTATTAAATTATTAAATATAATATATGTTATATAACTTAAAAATATTATTTAATATCAAAATATTATTTAATATATTAAAATTTAATATTTTTTAAAATTAATATTTCCAATTATCGTGTCTCATATTATAGATAAAGCATGACCAATGTTGTACTACTGTCAATGTCAGGTATCAACTCCATAATCCCTATAAATGCGATTCACCCGACTTGTTTATACTTTTCTTACATTATAATATAAAATTCAATTATAATATTCGTTAAACCTTGTACCAACTGAGTTTTGAACAACTGAGGGAGGTTTTTGCAGAGTGCACGTATCTGGTACCAAAAATATAAATTCTATTGGGCATTAGAAGTCAATTCCCATTTTTCATATCATATGATGTTATGTGATTTACCCATTTGCTTGAAGCATGCTGCTTCATTTAGTTGTTACCTATACAAATAAAAAAAAAAAAAAAAACTCTTAATCTTTTGATTTTCATTGGTTGAGGGTCTATTCACAAATTCATCTTTGTTGTCCAAGTGAAGGTGATTGTCCAATTTTCCATCCAATTTCTTGGGAAGAGAGTGGGTAAACAAATTCCATTATTTATGTCAAATATACCTGTTATGGCCAAAGTTCTTTTCTTTATGTGTTGAAGTGTTGAACGAGGACAGGAAAGATGACCCTTCTGATGTTATTTTCTGGAATAAGGTACTACTTTTCGTTTGCACAATATTTTGCTGAATGAATAAATATTAGAAGAATCTTTCATGTTTTTTTTTACCTGTTGGTGTTCTTTCAATTGGAAAATTTCCTATTGATGTTATTATCCTTTAACACTTGATGTTTTACATACTGAAAAGAAAAGTTACTTGATTTCGTTATCATGATTTTTCTTGCAACTCACTCCCTCAAAAACAAAAAGATAATAACCTGAACTATGTTTCTTTAGCTCAGGAGTGTTTTCTGATTTTGATATAACTTGGATGAAGTTTTTTTTTTTTTTTGTTGTTGCTAATTTTGTTAGATATTAAATTCATAAAAACTGAAGGGATCTTATTATGTAATGCTTCCAGGAACGCTCTTGCAAAAGATGAACTGGGCCTGGAAATAATGCAGATTTCACTCCCTACCACTCTGGCTTTAGCAGCAGATCCTATTGCTTCTCTGATTGATACTGCATTCATCGGCCACATAGGTTTGTTTTTCATTTTTCATTTCCATTTATCTTGAAAATTGGTTGACTGGTTCACTAACCTTGTAGCATTTTATGATGTTGATTGAGTAATGCTATCTGTTTGGGGATTGACTCTTTACACATGCATAATCTGTGTCCAAAGTTCAGTTCTAAGCTTACCCTAAGATATTGGTTGGGGATTGGAACTTATGACATTGTATTGATTTAAATAGTGTCTAGATTCATTGGGACGTTTCCCCTCCAATGAAGCCTTTGTAGCACTTCTTGAGTTGATTTCTTTAATACCTAGAGTGCTTGTTGTGATTTTAATTTTGGCAAATCTCATCCCAAGTGCAATCACTACCACCACCGCACACCATTGATAAAAGCTGGACTTTCCATGGCTTCCTTCCTTGCATTGCCAATTTTGGCAGACTGCTCCATGGGAAGCCTCTGAGTCATCAATTCTTCTGAAACCGTCTATGGCTGTCTATGCAGATTTTTTTGAAGTGGTTTGAGGAATGTTAGGGCTTTTGGTTCGACTGCCTTTGTTGCGAGCAACGGTAATTCCTTTGTTTGTCTCTCCAGGTTGTCATCACTGGTTCCTTAGGTTTTAGATTTTGGTCCCATTGATCACATCTCCGTTCTCTACAATTTCTGCATTTGTGTCTATAGTTGAGCTAAGTCTCTCTTTACTCTAATTCATTATGATGTTTGGGGTTCTTGTTGTACTAACTCCACCTTGGGGTTATGATATTTTGTCACTTTTATTGATGATTATTCTTAATTTCTTAATGGAAAGTCAGTCAGATTTATTTTCTCTTTTTCAACTATTTTATAATGAAATCAAAACTTGTTTTGGACTTTGCACAGCAGTAATGTGCGTGAGTACTTATCTTAGCCATTTCAAATGTTTATGGTGTCTCATGACATTCTTTACCAAACATATTGTGCTAATACCCTCTGTAAAGAACCTTGGGATACACTACCCCAAAAGCCAGCTCTTTTATTGACTCTATTAGCAAAGGAGGAGCGAGTGTGCTTTCCTTGCTGACAAGAATGACAGTTTAAAGACTTAAGACTGGATAAAAAGGGAACCATATGCCGAAGCTTGGAGAGGCTTGGATGACCCAGACGGTTGTGAATTAGCTCAGGAGACTCTGTGAGAGAACAGGCTACTGGAGAAGGTGGAGCAATCAGATAGTAGAGACCTCGTGACTCAATGCCCGCTCCAATCGTCTTCCCCGTACCCGAATCCTGCATAGAAAAGGATTGTTTAGAGAAGGTAACAGTACATGAAAGAGAGAACGCCTAAGCAGTGGGCTTAGGGTTTTAGCGGAAGCGAAAAATCCCCAGAACAAAGAGCTCTGGTACCAAATTATAATGTATGAATCTAACGAAAACGGGGTTGCTAAACTGAAAATTAGGAATTTTATTGAAAGTTTGAAACTATTCAAACGCTCTTACTTCATGAAAATGTTCCTTTCCGTTTTTTTCGCGATGGTGTTCTTACTACTTGCTATCTCATTTATTGGAAGCCCTCCTTTGTTTTTGATAACCAGATACCTCATTTTGTGTTGATTCCCCACCAATCTTTGCATTCATTGGCACCCCATCCATTGGTTCAACTTGTTTTGCTCACAATCTCAATCTTGGTCTTGATAAATTTTCGGCTCTATATGAACTTAAACATCACCTCGAGCATCGTTTGGCAAATTTAGGGCACGAAGTGAGGTTGACCACTTGATCTTCTATCTCCATTTAGCTCAAGGGTGCATTTACTTGATTGTGTACGCTGATGGCATTGTCTTCGTAGGCAATGATCACCATGGTTTATTTTAAGGTAAAACAACATCTTTGTCATCACTTTTAGACAAAAGATCTTGGAAAACTTTGATAATTCTTGGGTATAGTGGTGGTGCAATTTAAGGACGGTGTCATAAATTCTTAAAGTAGACCATGGACATTCTTGAGGAAACTACTCTGTTGAGTACAAAACTTGATGACACTCCTACGGATCCAAATGATAAACTTCTTTCAAATTACGGGGAGCTACTTTTGGATCAAGGAAGATACTAAGGAGTAGCTGGGAAACTAAATTGTCTCACAATCACTCGTCTAGACATCTCTTTAGCAGTCATTGTGGTAAATCAGTTCCTAAATTTACCTTGCGAAGGTGAGTGGGATGCAATAATTCGTATCCTAAATTACATTAAAGGGACTCTAGGAAAAGGACTCATCTATGAGGATAAAGGTCACACCAACTTGTTGGATACGTAGATGTTGATTCGGCGGGTTCTCCTAACTTTTAGGAAATCCACTTTTGGTATTGTGAATAACTATATTCATTTGGGATAACTTAATATCCTAAACTAAGAAATAGAATGTCATTCCAAGGTCAAATGCTGAAGCATAATATAAAGTCATGACATTAGCTACTTTTGAACTCAATTGGCTCAAACAATTACTTCAAGAGCTCAAATTTTGGGAGGTTACGTAGATGACACTCATTTGTGATAATGAAGCTGCAATACATATCGCCTCAAATCCAGTCTTTCGTTAAAGGATCAAACATGATGTGGCAGTTTGTTATTTTTAGAGAGAAGTTCTTTTCTGGAGATATTACCACTCGCTTCATTAACTCAAATGACCAGCTAGTGAATGTTTTCATTAAGTCATTGCGAGGTCCTTGGATAAGTAACATACGTAAACACTTTCACGGGATGCAAATTGACTTGAAATCTAGAAAAGTCGGACAAGTACGGGAGAACTAGGGTTCTATAGAAGCGAAACATTTAATGATTTTTATACTCATCGTACTAATAGGCATGGTTATACATGTAACAGTGTACTTAATTAGGTCCGAGTCCTAAAATCCTCTCTCTTTCTGTCCAAGTTTTTAAAATAATTAAAGGGATAGAATGATGCTAAATATTTCCGATTGACTGTAAGATCTATTGTTTATGTTGTAACAAGTCCTCTTGCATAAAATTTTGTCAATTTATCGGTCATCAGCTTGTGATTGAACTGTATCTAAATTATATTATGAAATACTGTTTTAGGTCCTGTGGAGCTTGCTGCTGTGGGAGTATCAATTGCTATTTTCAATCAAGTCTCGAAAATTGCAATAATTCCACTTGTTAGTGTTACTACCTCTTTGGTTGCTGAGGAAGATGCTGCCGATAAATTACAAACTCAACCATCAGAGAAAGAAATGCTGATCAAGGTCTCTCCGGTTAATGAGGAAATAAAGTTGGAAGTAGAAGAACAGACAAACGAAGCTGGTATTTTTTTTTTTTTTTTTTAATAAAACCTTTTAATAGCTTTCAACTTGTATTAAACAGAATTAGTGCTTGGAGTGGGATACTTACAGCTTAAAATAACTTACAACAAATTTTGTTTCAACCTGTAAACTTTCCCAGAGTAATCTATCAGCATTCTTTTTTTTTTTTGAATTTTTTTTTTTGATGTAGATCCTGAATGCAGCTCATCACCATCAAATATTGAAATAGTAGCTAAACTTGGCCATGACAAAAGCTACATTCCATCAGCTTCATCAGCAATAGTTATTGGCGGTGTGCTTGGGGTTTTACAAACTCTCTTTCTCATTTTTACTGCTAGACCGATCTTGAATTACATGGGCCTTGATTCTGTGAGTCCTCTCTTCAAAATGCTATCAGAATTCTGTATGAAACCAGTGTTAACTTGATATAAGACTAAATCTATCTTTCTTGTCACATTGGCTGATTTAATAATTGTTTGAAGGTTGTTTTATCTAATTCTCTTTCTAGTTAATTTCATAATTAATATCATACTTCAAGAGGGCAAGCCTTGCATTAGTGGTAAGATTTCTCTTTTGTGATTCGAAGGTCATAGGTTTGAGTTTTGGAAATAATCTCTTTACAAAAATGTAAGAGTAAAGGTTGCATACTATCGACTCTCACCCCTATCCTCACATAATCAGGGTGCTTTTGTGCACTGAGGTTTAGTCCTTATTTATATATGTTAGAGAGATATAATATAAAAACCATTTATGTGCCTTCACTTAATAGCTTGAGCTGCTAGTAGAAATGGTTGTTTATCATGGTATTATAGTCTTCGTGATCACGGGGTCACGATTTCGATCCTCACTGCCCCTTACTTAGTAATGAAATTATGTATGCACAAGGTAGAACAAAAGAAAAGGATCTATGCAATATCCACGTTTCAAGCCCAAAGGGCATTTGCATAAGAGTGTCTGTTTGAGAGATATAATATAAAACCATTAAGAGCCCATCACATACAAGCTTGAGTTGTTGGATGAATTAGAGTAAAGGTGACCACAGGGTTACAAATTTAATCCTTACTGCCCCCCACTCTCTAGTAGAATTAAGTCAGTACAAGATAGAGCAAAAAAAATGGGCATGTACAATATTCACGCTTCAAGCCTAAAGGGCTCTTGCACGAGGGTGTGTGTTAGAGAGATATAATATAAAACCATTAACAGCCCATCACTTACTAGCTTAAACTTTTGGGTTAAATTGGTTTTTTACAATATCATAATTTAGAAAGTCCATTAGTATTCAATTTTTATTTGTGGCTATTTGTCATCTTTAAAGACTCATATCTCCTTTTAGCTTCCTTACCATACAGTGTAAAATGACTGTCAATGTTACTTTTTCATGCAGAATTCTCCTATGTTAAAACCAGCACAACAATACTTGATACTGAGGTCATTTGGTGCACCAGCTGTTATTCTTTCTATGGCAATCCAAGGCGTTTTTCGGGGAATCAAAGATACAAGAACTCCTTTATATGCCACAAGTACACCATTCCTCTCTTTCCATTGAAACAACATCTCAATCTAGTTCATTATGATGATACTCGATCAGTGTTAGACTGTAGTTAATAATGTCACTCCCATTTAGATAAAATCACTTCCTTTGGTGTATCAACTTTAATTTATTTCCTTAATCTCAAAGTAATATGTCCTCTTTGTGAATAAAAGATGAATTTAGTATGTTCTAGACTAGGATTGCAACATCAGGAAATGTTACTGTAGAACTTAAGATTATAATTAGATTATCAGTTGAGTTTATGTTTATGGCCAAGTATCAAATTGATTTTCCAGATCCCCAATCAACAATAATGATGCTATGAAAGGGGAAAAAAAAAAGTATTGACATGTCAATCTGTGTTTGTATCTTTTATGTAAAAAAGAAAGGGATTCATTAACCTTTTGCGTATTATGCATGTTGTTTATATATCTATCTATCTATATATATATATATATATATATATACATATATATTCAAGCTTCTTGAATCAGATCTAGATACAGTTTAGTGAATTTGTGGAAATCAATTAGACTTTACTTCTAAATATAACTTGATTACACTCTATTACTATTCAGTAATTTGTGAAATTAACTGCAGTCATGGGAGATGTAACAAATATCATTTTAGATCCAATACTTATGTTCATTTTCCGGTTGGGAGTCAGTGGGGCAGCCATTGCCCACATTATTTCGCAGTAAGTTCACCTTTGGTATTCATTTCTGATTTTGGAGACGATATTCCAAATTAGAAGCCTTGTTTCACTTCTGTTTCTCATTTCATTAACTTGGGATGCGATTTATAGGTACTTGATTTCCTTAATGCTATTGTGGAGCTTAATGAAACAAGTTGTTCTCCTGCCTCCGAGTATCCGAGACTTTCAATTTGAGAAGATTCTGAAAAACGGTTATAATTTTATCTATGCTTTTTGAATTTTCAGATTATTCTGGTTCCTAATTACTTATAACTTAGCAGCTGAACATGCATGTTATTTTTTTTGTCTAGAGAGGCTTTGAAAATTTGACCTACAGATACTCCAATAGATTTCTTTCTTATCTGAACTTTACATTCTATTAATAAAAGAAGTCTGCCTGTCTGCAGAAACACTTGCATATCTGATAACAATTTTGTTGCTGAAGTTACATTTTATCTTAGTGAAGTCTTAATGTCTGTTGCTGTCATTATTCTTAATGCATAGTATATACTCCTTATTTAAGAAACTTATTTCGCAGTTCTTGTGTAAGAAGAATGTCATCTGTGATGTGTAGATTTTCATTTTTTTCTTTAAAACTGTAGCTCTGGCTTTTTGTTTATAACAAATGAAACTGAAATTTTTATTGAAGTTGAATGATCTATCCTGATATTGAGTGTTCTTTTCTTTAAAAAAATCACAAAACTTGGGTCCTAATTTGCATATAGATTGGATCTTATTGCACCACCTAACACTATTGAATGTTAATTGTCAACCCAAATGCATGACTCCTAATTCGTTGGGGTGTCTGATTGGAATATGAACAGTGCCATTTTCAGGGGAAAAACTGGGTTCTGGGGTTCTATAATTTTCCTTTTGCTACTACTTGTTGAATTTGATCAATCTCTTGTACACTTTGACTGGAAATATGTTTGATACATTCTGGAGGGAAAATCTCTGACTTTGTTTTCTTCCCTTGGTTGTAGGGTTTTTGTTATTGGTCAAAGTTGCAGCTGTGACATTCTGTGTGACCTTATCAGCATCCCTAGCAGCAAGGCAAGGACCTACAACAATGGCTGCTTTTCAAATATGCTTACAGATTTGGATGGCAACATCTCTGCTTGCTGATGGATTGGCTGTTGCTGGACAAGTAAGAAACAAATTCTTTATGAAAATATAACTTTTGCAACTTCGATTAGTGGGATAAAGAATTACTATTTTTTGTCAAGCACAGGTATTGCACTAAAAACTAAAAATTAAATGACTTGTGATACTCAAGGTTATATACAAGCCTACAGCCAAGGAAATGAAAACATACATGATAGAAGCAACTAGCAAAAGCAAAGTAACTACATTCAATACATCAATTGCTTATCATCTCTGAGAACCACGAGAAATCAAGCAGCAAATATACTTGGATACTAAATCATGTTTCAGATTTATTAGTTAGTTTGCATGCAACACCATTCATTGCCAATTATTGGTTTGAATAAATCCATAAACCTATTTTAAAAATAATTTGAAATAAAAAAAATAAAACTGCTATAGTTAATGATAGGAAAAGAAAATTATGACAATTATTAGTGGGATCAAAGATCAATGCATGATTGATGGGGAGTCCGGCATTAAAGGTTTACTTGATTTTAAAGGGTTGTATCAGTGATTGTTGGGTACTATTAATTGTAACCAGACATTGTTTGACTAGTTATGACAGGTGTCAATGCCAACCTTGGATCTTTAATGCCATGACTGTCGTACCTGTTTAAGGCATATACAAATTTCCTAGGTGATTGGGTTTAGTTATTTTCTGCATGCTTTTGTGTTGCATTTGCCTCAGAATCATCATTGATTGCACGCAACTGATAGAAACTGGGTTCCATCAGCATCCTCCCATGCTCTGTGATATCTATCATTACTCATTTATCATTCTTCACTCGAGATGATTCTATTTATTCAAAAATACTTTCCTATTATGCATTCAAGCCCATGTAACCATAATTGAAGACTCTTTTTCAGGCCATTATTGCAAGTGCATTTGCAAGAATGGATTACAACAAGGTCATTACATCTGCTTCACGTGTGCTGCAGGTATTTCAACTTGTTTCCCATCATATTTTATTTGGTTAGCAGTTTATGCTCTTAATTCACTTTACTTGAATCATTGCATCATGCAGCTTGGCTTGATTTTAGGGCTGGTGCTCTCGATCCTACTGTTTAGTCTACTACCACTGGCTTCAAGGGTATTTACAAATGATATGAATGTTCTGCGACTTATCAGTATTGGCATTCCTGTAAGTAATGTCCCTATGGTTAAAATACGATTACTGTCTCTTCCTAGCTATGCATTGGTTACCCAATTGGAAAAGCTCATAATTTTTTCCTCTCATTTTCTTGTTGACTACTTGACTAGTATGTTGCAGCCACTCAACCCATCAATGCTCTGGCATTTGTTTTTGATGGAGTCAACTATGGAGCTTCAGACTTCACATACTCTGCGTACTCAATGGTAAGTTTAGAAATATATTTTTTCTGTACAAATCAAGGAAGTATCTTAGATGGTGTTCTTGAGTCATAAATGTTGATCAACCTCACTTTGGCATTGGCTTTGGAAAAAAAAAAAAAAAAAACTCACTCCGCATTAAATCCCAACAAGGCAGTGGGGTGAGAATAATTCTTGTACGTAACCTTACCTTTGCATATTTACAAAAAAGTTATTTTCCCGAGTCTCAAGGGAATAGCTTTACCACTAGAACTGCTCGCCCTCTTTTGGCACTGGCTTTGGAAACAAGAAAAAAATTGTGAATGTTCATATAATGAAATCCTTTTATCTTTTCTCTCTTTTTTTACTTTAAAAAAATCGGAGTATGGTTTGTTCAGCCACCATCCCCTCTTTTTCCTGCTGTGAATCAGTTTATCTCTCTCTTATGTCTTATTTATTTGTTATTGGTCGCAGATTATGGTGGCATTGGTGAGCATTTTTAGCTTATATACGTTATCTTCAAGCCTTGGCTTTACTGGTATCTGGATTGCGTTGTCTATTTACATGAGTCTAAGGATATTTGCAGGCTTTTGGAGGTAACATCTTTTGCTGCACATAAAAGATTCCCTGTTTGAGTTATCAGTTGTTAAGCAATGTTCTAGTAGAAATCGTTCCTTCACTTCTTATGCAACCCATATTTCATTCAGAATAAATAGGAGATGTAATAAAAATATTACTATACAAATTATGGAATAATGTATATGACGAAGGATTAAAAAAGTAGCATTTATATACTTTGATTTGCAGGATTGGCACTGGATCAGGACCTTGGAGCTTCCTTAAGGAAAACTATGCACGACTCCAATAGTTCCAAGCTATTAATAAACCACATCATGGAGTGCTAGCGGCAGTTATTACTCCCTTTGTAGGTAGAAGCTGCTCTTTCCAATGGGAAATTTTTATTTGAAATGATTTCTTTACTCTCATATGAAATGTGTATATATGTATATGAAAGAGAATGTTTGTCAAGAGTTGAAATTTTATGAAAAAGCAAAAATATATCAGCATTTATTATTGAGCATAACTGTTTTAGTTTCATTTGAGAGACTTGAACATCAAAATCAACATCATCTTTATCCCAAATTAATTGGGGTCGGTAGTAGATGAACCCAAATGAAAGATACAAAAAGGTTGAAAAAAGAAACATAAAAATAAATATAAAAATAAATAAATAGAAAAGTAATAATATATATATATATATAACCGATTTTATCTCACCCTTCAATTCGAATTAGATATATATATATCAAAGTAAAAAAGAAAGGGAAAAGAAGAAGTTGGGGAAATGAAGGGGAAAAAGACTAAAAAGGACTATATGGAACATAGGAATAACAACGGGTCTAATCCTCCACCATGCTTATAGCTTTTTTTCATTCCGTTCTAAGGCATACTGTCCGCCAATCTATATCCCACTCCATTAAATCTTGTTTTACTACTTTCTCTCAAGTAAGTTTCGGTCTACCTCTACCTCTTTTTGTGTTGAGCTCTTGGTAACAAATTTCTGTTCTTACGGGAGCATCCAGGGGCCTTCTCATTACGTGCCCAAATCACCTCAATCTATGTTCTCTCATCTTCTCAGCCACTGGTAGTACTCCTACCTTTCGTCGAATATCTTCATTTCTTATCTTATCCATCCTCGTATAACCACACATCAACCTTAACATCCTCATCTCTGCTACTATCATTTTATGCTCATGTTGCCTATGTGCTGGTCAGCATTCAGCTCCATATAGCATTGCAGGTCTTACTGTTGTTTTATAGAATTTTCCTTTTAACTTAAGGGGGATTTTGCAGTCACACAAAAATTCAGATGCACTGCGCCACTTCATCCACCCTGCTCTGATTCTATGATTTACATCCTCATCAATCTCTCCACCTTTTTGCAAAATGGAGTCCAGGTATTTAAAAGCATCTTTCTTGGGTACCTCTTGACCACTTAGATGCACGTGATCTTGGTCTACATCTCTTACCAGAGAAAACTCACACTTCAGATATTCAGTCTTGCTTCGACTTAATGTGAATCCTTTAGATTCCAATGTGCTTCTCCACAATTCAAGTTTTCTATTAACACCATCCTTGCTCTCATCAATAAGCACAATATCATCTGCAAAAAGCATACATCATGACACTTCCTCTTGAATATCTTTTGTTAGTTCATCCATAACTAAGGCAAAGAGATAAGGACTTAGAGCCGTGTACACCTACCGTGTTAGGGAAATAACTTGATGTTCCATTACAAGCTTTCACACATGTAGTAGCCCCATCATATGTATCCTTGAGAGACCTTGAACATCTATCTAAAATGGTTACAACGATGGATATGAACTGCTCCTCATAGTTAGTTCGTACCCACTTGAAAACGATTCAAAGCAGTGTTGATCTAGGATTCTTTATTTTTAGTGGCTAATACTGATGAATTGATCAAGCCAAATCTATAAGGGGAGAAAAGACAGATTAAATTTAGGTGGCTGAGTAAAGAATTATAAGCAATTGATTTCTTAGGCCAGTTACCTTAACATGATTATACAAACAATCAAGTTTCTCGTAGTTTTTATAAAATTAATAATTTATTATTAAGTTTTTAAAAATCATTGGTTTTATTTAGGTGGCATGAGTTTGAGCTCTCGGAAGGAATAGCTAATTGGGTACTCCAATAAACCAATGGGAAAATCATACTAAAAAAAAATGGTGGTTTGCCAAAGCAACTTTGACTAGATTTACCACTGATTTGGCAACTTAAAATAACGTAAAACACATTTTCTATCAACATGTAAACTTTCAGTATCGAATTATGGAGTCATTTGCAAGTCGCTCTAAAAAATATATTATTATAATTAATGGGGCAGGATATATTTATCATTAAATTTTTTTTATCACCTTTATAATTAACTTAATCATCGTTAATTTTCGTCAATTTAATGGTTATAATTTATTGAAAAATTTATTAGTATAAATTTTTTTTCATCAACTTAAACTGACGTGAAAAGTAAAAAAAAAAAGTTTAATAGTATAATTATAGGGATAGGATATTGTGACAACCAAGTAAAGTTACAATCAATGTTACTACCAATCAATCTCACCGTTTGATTGGTAGTAACGATCCGACGGTCATGATTTGTTCCTTATATAGCCTCTCTCCTCCCTTCTCTCTGACTATACTCTCTAACGCAGAAGCCGTCGCTGCCGCCCATAGCCTCCATCGCACCGCTGCACTCTACCGCTGCAGTCTACGGTTCTGATTTAATTGATTTCCATAACCCCTCTCTCTTCCGTTCTCTAAGTTGTGATTGATTTTTTATTACCTATCCCCTTGTGATGAGTATCTCGTTGAATACAAAGAATGCACTTTTTATAATACGAACAACCCTTCTCCTGTGAAAAAGCTGCTATAGTTTTGGAACATGGAATATTGTAATAAATTAAAAGAGCAATCAGAACACAAAAAATGGGAAGGTCTATCCGCATCAAAACTGCATCGCCTTATGTTATTAGGGTTACAAGCGGCGGCGGCCGACGGCTATGGGCAGCGGCGGCGGAGGCAGAGAGGCTGTAGAGTGCAGCGGCGCGACGGAGGTTATGGGCGGCGGCTGCTGCTGCGTTAGAGAGTATAGTCAAAGAGAATGGGAGAGAGAGGCTATATAAGGAACAAATCATGACCGTCGAATCCAGGTACGGATTTAGGGGGGGGCTAGGGTGGGCCACCGCCCCCCTCCCCAAATTTTCAGATTTTTTTTTATATATATAAATAAAATTTAAATAATATTACTAAATTATTAAAAAAAAAACCTCTCTCTCTCAATTTAAGTCTTTAACAAACCTAGAGACCTCATTTGCATTGCATCCATGGAGGCATAGAACCCGACACCATGAAATCTCAGGTATTTCGTTATCCTTATTTTTTTTGTTTTTTTTATGAAATAAATATGCTTTAACAGGTTCTATTTGTTTGTTTTGTCTAGAAAGTCAAAACCCATTCAATATTATCCACTCAATGCCATGAAATCTCAGGTCTTTCTCTATTATTTTTTTCTTTTCTTTTTTATGAAATAAATAATGTTTAATACCTGTGATTCATAAACCTGTTTCAAAATGTTTGTCTCAAATCCAATGAATTCTGCATCCGCATGTTATTTATTTCCAAGTTTTGACAAGACCGCCCCACAGTTTCCAAGTTTCGACATTTAAGTGATGAATAAAAAACAAAATACCCCACTCAACGCCATGAAATCTCAGGTCTTTCTCTATCCTTATTTTTTTGTTTTTTTATGAAATAAATAATGTTTTAGCAAGTGGTAGTTCTATTTGTTTGTTTTTCTAGAAAGTCGAAACTCATTTAATATTATCCACTTGTTTATAAATCTGCTCATATCTCTGTTTTGACTTTCTAGACGTTTTGACATTAACGGATTTTAAAAAGAAAAAGTCCGTTGGTACATATGGAAATGGAAGACCGCTGTAACAAGAGCAAATATGGAAAATGGGTTTCTCGAATTTATACATGAAAGATTGTAGGTAATTATTATGGGGAAGAGTACTACTATTGATGTTTATTTTAAGAGAAAGAATAGTGAGTCTTTGTCGTCATCTACTTCTACTGTTGTATTGTCAAATATTGAAACTCCTTCTTCAAAGTCTCCTAAAATTGAAAATAAAGAGGTAGTTAAAGTTGATTTTGATTCACTGGAAAGAGATCCTGCACTACGCCCTCCAATATGGAAATATTCTATAAATCAACAAGATGAAATTCGTCGTGCTTATCTTAAACTTGGTCCATTTCAACGCAAGCTTCAAAATTATCCTTTTTCTGGGCTAGAGAGGAATCAACGTCATTTTTGCTTTTCTTGGTTTGATTTGTTTCCATCTTGGTTAGAGTATTCTCCAAGTAAAGATGCTGCATTTTGTTTGCCTTGTTATTTATTTAGTAAACCAGGTGGTAGTGGTCATGTTGGACTTAATACATTTGTTGTTGAGGGCTTTAGAAATTGGAAAAGGTTAATGACGGAGAAAATTGTGCTTTTCTACGCCATGTTGGGAAAAATGCTATCTCAATGCATAAAAATGCTGTGAGTTCAAGTATTGATCTTATGAACCAATCTCAACATATTGAGATATTGGTTGAAAAGCTTACTACTCAGGAGATTGCAACTAATCGTTTAAGACTGCGAGTTTCTGTGGACGTGACAAGATGGCTTGCTCTTCAAGGATGTGCTTTTAGAGGTCATGATGAAAACGAAAATTCACTTAACCGAGGTAATTTTCTTGAGATGATAAAGTTTTTAGCTTCTTATAATCAAGAAGTTGCAGCAGTTGTTTTAGAAAAAGCTCCTCAAAATGCATGATATAGTTCTCCTCGAATTCAAAAGGAAATTCTTCATGTTTTCTCTCAAAAGGTAAAGAACACAATACGAGAAGAAATTTTCAATGCTAAGTTTTGTCTTATTGTTGATGAAGCTAGTGATGTATCTAGAAAAGAGCATATGGCTATTGTTTTGCGATTCGTAGATAAAGATGGTTTTATACGGGAAAGGTTTTTCGGTCTTGTACATGTGGAAGATACAAGTGCTAAGACTTTGAAACAAGGAATATTCAGCACTCTTCGTCACCATAATCTTGACGTTCAAAATATTCGAGGACAAGGCTGTGATGGAGCTAGCAATATGCGAGGTGAAAGGAATGGATTGCAGGCTTTAATTTGCGCTGAGTGTCCAACTGCTTATTATGTCCATTGTTTAGCTTATCGCCTTCAACTTGCCTTGGTTGCTACATCTCATGAGGTAAAACATGTTCATCAATTTTTTGAAAAATTAAACTTCATAATTAATATTGTTACTTCTTCTTATAAACGTAATGATGAGTTAAGGGCTGCCCAAGCAAGTGAAATTGCAAGAATGATTGCTATTGATGAACTCGAATCAGGAGTTGGTCTTAATCAGATTGGTACTTTACATCGAGCTGGAGCTACTCGTTGGAGTTCGCATTACAATTCAATATGAAGTTTGT